TTGTCACAAACAGAAGCGAAGTGTTTAAGTAAGGGTTGATCGCATATTGAAACAAGTGTTTGAAAATTTCCGATAGATGATAATAACCACCTGATATATGTAAGTGGAATTTTTCAAAAGGAAATAGAATGAATTTTGAAAAAACTTGCATTTTATTTGTTTGTTATTAAGTACAAAACTACACAATGGACTACCTGTGCTCTGACATCCACGGGTATCGAAACCTGGTTTCTAGCGTTGTAAGTGTGCAGACATTCCACTGTGCCACTGGGGGCCTTACATGTTGATGGCGTGAATAAGGTGGTTAAGAAACAATCTATCAAAGCTTAAGGTAAAAATAGATTATACATTTTTGTTTCGTTTGGTCTTAAGCACAAAGCTACACAATAGGCTATCTGTGCTCTGTCCATCATGGGTATCGAAACCCGAATTTTAGCGTCGTACGCCTGCAGACTTACCGCTGAGCCACTGAGAGAGAGTATTTTCTGAACACGTACTTGATGAATAGTGCAAGTATAATATACCAGATGGGTGAAGCTATCTAGATAGATTTGGTGCTGTTTCATACCACAAACTTTACTTGAAATTATGCGTTCAGCCTACAATACAATAGAAGTGGCATTGAGAAGATGAAACCAAACTAATGTGTAAAATGCTAGATATATGAATTTTATGTCAAAATATAAGGCTGCAGAATTTTATTTGTAATTTAAAGTAGTGATAATGTTGAACAAGTATTAATATATATACTACTAAAACTCTGAGATTGTTTGCTTGTCTGTAATTAAATACAGCAAAAACGACGCACAATACCGCCATATTTGTAATGAAATGATAATAGAAACAAGTTTCGTTAAAATCGGGCCACGGGCTACCGAGTTAGTCCCGTTTTTCGGGTCACTTTTATGAAAATTTCTAGATGAATTTAGGTACACTAGATGGCGCCATATATCGGTTTATTTATCTATTCGTTTTCCACCTGATGAATCACTTTAAAATATTTTCTATGCAACAATATATGCACAACAGAAATTAAATGATGAGATGAAAATGTGTTAAACGGCGCGTAGAAAGAACAACAATAAAATAGACCTACAATATTACTGACTATTTGCAAATAGTAACTATGGAGACGAGATAATAAAATAAAGATCAAGTCGAGAACAACAACAAAAGTTTATAAACGAAAATCTCTCGCCGAGCATTGGCTATTATATTATTTCCCTGTTAATGTTCCCATCTTCATTAAAAGGCGTAACATGACAAAAAAAAGATCTTGAAGAATCTATCTATATACTACTAAAATTCTGAGATTATTTGCTTATTTTCTCAGTCAAAAAATCATTCACACTACCATTCGCGCTCTTTACGAAACTTCTATCTTCACTTTTTTGAAAAATGAAATGGTCTTTCCTTTTACTCCCGATCAACAATCAAATATTTTTTCTTGAATTATGAATAACACGAATGGATTGAAATATTTAATTAAATTATCTCAAAATAAATCTTCATTTTGCTGCAATATTGAAATTAGCTTGAATTCTACATAACCTATGAATAAAATTCGAGAAGTATTATTTTTATTTGTTTGAAGTTAAGCACAAACTACACGATGGACTATCTGTGCTCTTCCAACCACGGGTATCGAAACCCGGTTTCTAGTGTTGTAAGTCCGCAGACATACCACTGTGCCACTGGAGGGGAGCATATTATTTCAAAGTATAAGGCTGTAAAAATGTATTTGTATTTTTAAATATAAAGTTGAAGAAGTGTTTGTATTTTAAAGTCTAAAGTTGGAGAAGTATTTGTATTTTTAAAGTCTGAAGTTGTACGATCGTTACTGAACAAGGATAACAGTTAACAACATCTTACACATCTCATACATATAGGTTGCATTATTGTTACTGATCCAGGATAACAGTTAACAACGTTTTACACATTGCACACATATTGGTTGTATGATCGTTACTGAGTCAGGATAACAGTTAACAACGTTTTACACATTTCACATATATTGGTTGCATTATTGTTACTGAGCTAGGATAACAGTTAACAACGTTTTATATATTTCATACATGATCGTTACTGATCCGGGATAAAAACCAACAAATCCGCTACATTTCTCATACATATTGGTGTACAATCCATAGTGGGCCAATATGACCTCTATGTAATTGGTACACATTGGTGTACAATCCCTAGTGGACCAATATGACCTCTATGTAATTGGTACACATTGGTGTACAATCCCTAGTGGACCAATATGACCTCTATGTAATTGGTACACATTGGTGTACAATCCCTAGTGGACCAATATGACCTCTATGTAATTGGTACACATTGGTGTACGATCCATAGTGGGCCAATATGACCTCTATGTAATTGGTACACATTGGTGTACGATCCATAGTGGGCCAATATGACCACTATGTAATTGATACACATTGGTGTACGATCCTTAGGGGGCCAGTGTGATATTTTAAAAATAAAACTTTAACAGGTAAGCTATCAAACAACCAGTTATAGAAACGAGCAGAAATACCCGCCCTCCGGGCAGGTATAACTGCTAGTTCCTGCGGAAGGCTGTTGGGCCTGCGACCTTTTCTGGAAATGTCTGACAGTTCTCCAAAATTTACTCGTACTTGACATTCAGTAATGTTAAACATTCTTGAGAAAAGGGATCTTATTGAAATTTGAGTTTAAAAATGAGCTATCATTACAGCATTACATCACAGAGTATATTTTATTGAAGTATTTTTTGTAGACGCAGTCATCAATGAAAGTTATCAATTTCACACGTATTGGTTGCATGATTGCTACTGAGTTAGGATAACTGTTAACAACGTTTTATATATTTCATACATGGCCGTTAGTGATCCGGGATAGCAACCAAAAAGTTACTTACTCCTTTCAATTCCTTAAAATAATTCATTGACGAGTTTCCTTGTAAGGAACAAAGTCCAGTCCAGTCCACAAAACAACTTAACAAATTAGTTTATTCATTTCTTAACCTAAAGGCTCCTATCAATTATAAACAGTTTTTCCCTGTAGGCTAAGTCCACAAATGATATATTTTTATTTTCAAATTCAACAGATATTTACTCACTAAAGGTACCATGGCTAACGTACGAATAAACTTGTACATTTTCACGTCTAACTAATCGTGTAACTGAATATATGAGATAAATAACACTGATCTAAATATTTCACTGAATAACTGGCATTCTATCAACTAAAAATTAACTCAATGCTTCACTGATTCTTGTATTTCTAATGTAGCCTTGTTTCTAGACACTTCGCAAAATTTCTCGACTACTAATATTCTAGGTATTTAGAACTACTTTTCTAAACTTATTTGATCTTGATGTTATGTGTCCTCTAGTTAACATTTAAATTAAAACATTGAAAATATAACTTACAACATTATAGTTGGCCAGCTCTTTTAGGCTATTTGACAAAAATAATGCAAAATACAGTCCATGTAGGGATACAGAATTAATCTTTTTCTTCATTAGCATTTGCTATAAACTACGTTTATTGGTAGGCCTAACTTCATAAGCAGAGTTTCAAAAGAAATTCCAAAACGATTGTAAGTCATCTTACTTGCAAAATTTTCTCATTAGTGAATCCATAACAAACACGTTTACTAACTAGCTTACTAACACGATCTGACGAACAGACGCAATAACTCTCACTGCCTAACTCACTAACTTATATTGAGCTGATTAACTAACTTGAACTCACGCAGTCAGGCACTTTATATTGTACTTATTTTTTAGTTTCTACAGGATGATTCGAAATTCTACAGAGAGGTCTAAGCTTTCATGAAATTTCTAGACTTTACCAATCACTCCTCATCTAAACAAATATGAACAAAAACATTAATAAAATAATAAAAATGTAGCCCAAACCTACTGTTTATGCAAAGTTTAAATAAGTTTGATTTAGCCTAGAAAGAGACTGGCAAACAAATGTTCAATAAATTAAAACAAAAACAGAACAAGTTTCGTAGAGCCCGACGAAGTCACAGTTGTGGTTACGGCACTTGACTCGCAAATATGCTCGCTCTTTCAGCCATGGGGGTGTTATAATGGAACGGTCAATCCCATTTTTTAATTGGTAAAATAATAGCCGAACAGTTGGCGGTGGGTGGTGTTGACTAGTTGCCTTTCCTCTAGTTTATCACTTCTAAATTAGGGACGGCTAGCTCAGATAGTCTTCGAGTAGCTTTGTGCAAAATCTGACAAACAAACAAATGAAGTCATAAACCGAAACACTGATGTAATACATTATTTATAAAATCGAAAGTAGTCGTTTTTTATATGTAAACAAACACAAAGTCCACAATATTCGAATTATCATCGCTAGAGTTAAAAAACAAAATTTGTTGTTGTTATTATTAAGCACAAAGCTACACAATGGACTATCTGTACTTCACCCATCGTGGGTATCGAAACCCATACATTAGTGTTACAAGCTAGGAGACATACCGCTTAGTCAATGGATTATAACAGTAGTTTAACTATTGTCTTATGACAAGTGTAATTGTACTCATTGTACGATCTGGCGAAGAGCGCTAGCTCGAAACGTCATCCTTCTTTAAATAAAAATATATAAAAACTTGACGATTTTTCAACCTATTAGTCATTCTTCTCCAACTTTTAAAAGGCGTAATATTATACTAGTAACTATGAGACTTGGGGAGAAATTCTAAATTTTCCCAGCATTTTGCTATCCAGCTTTTTTAGGTTGTTCTTAATTAGATATAAGATATTGGAAAATAATATTAACACTGAAGATCATTATTCTGAACTATTTGTTTAATAATAAGAAAAATTGTCAGTTTTGCTACGGAACAAATGATACTCTTAGAAACGTAGTCATAACAACTAAACAACAAATGCTGTGATTGGCCTGTTCTGCGGAAATGGAATTGAAAGATTTAAGGGCACGTGACTAAGTTGCTTCAGTCCCGTAACGAATAGTTATTACTTATTATACGTTAGCCATGGCTGGAGGGAGGGCTTTATATGCAGGCTCTCGTGTTTTTCAGTGGTTAGCTAATTTTGTAGGTCTGCCAATAGATCAGGTAAGAAAAATGAAACATCTAATTTTTCAAATCAATAATATGTACGCCAGTAGAAAGTGGGTTTGGTTGCATATAGAAATGTATTCTAACTACTGTTGTCGGTAGTTAACGTCAGTTTTATTAAAATGTTTACTTTGTAGGCCTTAGCCTGCTGCTGCTAGTGCTAGTACTTAAAGTTTAAATGCTAGTTGTACTGTACTATTACTACTAATAATAATAATAACACTAATAGTAGTTGTACTACTACTACTATAGTACACCAATAGTATTAGTAAAGAGTAATGTGCGATTATTTCGATCAAACTTATTTGAAAGGAATCTGGCCTGAAAATCTAACTTTACTTTTTATTGTCAGTGTCATTAAGTTATTTATTTCAAAACCTGCATTTCGGACTAAGTAATGATTAATCATGAAGTCTAATGATGAACAGTACAAGTTACAACCACAGAAGTGACAAATAATATTAACAACCTGTTTATTGAAGCTGGACGTTTCGGAATATTAAATGTATCAATAAATACATTGTTGTCTGTAGTTGTAGTGTTCATCATTAGACTGTTAATGGTTGGAGACGGCTTGAATGGGTAATGAAGAAAAACTTTAGTATATGATTAACATAACAGCAAATGTACAACGTTTCGACAAGGTTTTGTCATCATTAGACTATGTTTTCCACCTCGTGAAGCTGTTGCAAGTTGACCGAGTAATGAGTGACGTCAAACAAACGTTACACGTGCACTCAGAAAGATTTTCTGAAACAGTGAAAGGTAAACTCAAGTTGAAAGAAGGTTAGGCCCAAGTTTGAACAAATTATAATAATTAAGAATAAAATTAAGCTTACATTTCATGATAGTTTGTATTGTAATTTGTAAGTGCATATATGCTATTATCATTATTAAACAGTGACAGTATGTACATCTATAGTTTAGTTGATTTCAAATTGAACATCAATAAAGCCGTAACGTTAACTTTTATTTGCATTGGGCGTGGTTTCGGCATTAAACAAGGTAGGTTTTTACGCGAGTGGCTAGTTTCCACCCACACATCACATACATGTAAAGTGATTTCATAAACTTTTATACTCGCGTAAGAAAAGGCTTGGCATGAAATATTTGGCAGTGTGTAACTTGTATTTTATTTTGATGAACGATATGCAACATTTTGTGAGACACGTGGGTTTCTGTAAGCCTACTTAGTATTAATATTATTGTATTTAATTACAGAAGTTGTACTCATTTATCGAGAAGAAAAACCTACTTTCATATAAACTTTGTCATTTACTCAAATATGATTTACTATTCATTTATGGTTAATTTCTTTCAAGTATTAAATATGCAATTTTTCAATAATTTACTGCCTACTTTTCAATACTTCATGAATCTGGGCTTAAACTATAAAATAAAATTCGTTAATGTGTTTTTTTCTTTCTAGGAATACATTTCCAAATATGGTAAACATACAGAATATAAAATTTTTGGTTCCGTTTTTATTTTCAGGTCAAAAGAAGACAAAATGAAATTGTGAAATTATTAGTTCTTAAAGTTTTGAAATTATATTCAGTGTAGATGTGAAAAAATTTCTACACTTTCATTATACTGTTTCCCATGAAGGAAAAAAAGGCTTAACAAATATAATAATTTTTTCAAAATGCAGTCCTGATGCTTTTTAAATAATACGTTTTTGGCATCTCTTTGTGTTTGAATATCATTATAAACAGTATATAACACCAAATATTTAACACAAATGTGTATATGTATAAATTATTAGCTTTTAATTTTAAATGCTGCTAATACACGTTTACCATATCAAACAATTTAGGGATGGTGCTGATTATAATTGTTATAATCATTGATTATTTTATATTGTCTGTTTAAAAATAACTGTGATTCTATAACATCTATGTCATTCTACAGTACAGTTTCACTTATTGAGTCACCATTGTTTATCATGTCTAGTACATTACACATGTGATCAGATGCTTTTGTACTGAGTTTTAACAGTTTTATTTGGTTAGTCATCATTGTTAACCATGTCTAGTACATTACATATGTGACCAGTAATTCTTGTACTGAGTTATAATGGTTCTGTTTGGTTAATCGCCATTGTTAATAATGTCTAGTACATTCTATATGTGATCAAACCACAAAACCAAAAGTAATGTATTAGTAATAAGTAAAAGCTACTGAACCCAAAAGTAACCTATTGATAATTAGTCCAAACTACTGAACCAAAAGTAATGTATTAATAACATAGGTTTGCAAACTTAAACTTCCTAAAAGATGTTTTGGTTGTAATAACGGATTTTCCATAGTTCAGCTATACAGATTTTGAAAATAATATTGATTTTTTTCTATCAAGTAAGGATTTTTTACAAATTGGGAAGAAGAAAAAACTTGCTCAGATCAAATTATTATTTAGTTTACCACAATGAACATTTTTTATTGTTATTTTTGTTAACAAAAATACAAACAAACTGAAGAAAAGAGAAGAACATTGATGTCAAATGATTATGCATCCTCATTCATTCTGATTTGTTGTGCCAAATGTATATCTTTTAGTCTCAAAAATACGTGTTGTGATCTTTGTTTTATGTATTGCATTATGATGTTTTGTAAAAAGTCTGTATGTGATGGAGAAAAATGGATATCATTTTTGGATTCAGTGTACAGGATTTACCATAAAACGTAAAAATTTCAAGACAGTAAAAGTATCGCAGGAATGTGTAATTAGTCCAAACTGTTGAACCAAAAGTAATGTATTAGAACAAAGAACCCAAATCATGAAGTAACTGAATATGTGTTCTTAACCTGCTATAAACTTATGATATAAAGTTTCTACATCTAAGAAAATATATGACTGTTTTGATTACAAGTAATGATCTGTGCAGCAAGTGACTACTTCAATTAATTTTTCTAAAATGTGTATTTTAGTTCATGTTATAAGGTGTAACAAACTCTTATACAAATATTTGAAGAAAGTCATTAATGTGTGCTTATTTCAGGCCAGTGATTATGCAGTGAAAGGCTTAAATAATATTTTTTATAGACTACTATAGAAGAAAAACTGATGTGTTTTCTTTTGATTTTTTCAGTTAAATTTCATAATCTCTCAATCTGTCATGTTGTTGCTTGCTGTCTTGTATAGAAAAGTTCTTCGTCATCAAAATGTGTCTGTTGAAACACGTCAGATTTTTACACTTAGCTGTGGAATTGCTTTAGGATACTTCTGTTTTGGACAGTAAGTAGAATTGACTGTTTTCATTCATCTGTAGATTGGTTTGTGCACAGTTTATTTTATTAATCATCTATTCACAAGCTCTGTCAGATTTACTGAGCCAGTACTTGTGAAGCTATGCTTATTAATATTTACCATAATTCTGAATTAATTAATGTATATCTTGACAAAATTTGGCAAGCTTTTGGTAATGGTTACAACTCAGTTGAACACAAAAATTTTGTTTTTTTAATAAATTATTTTTACCAAAGATTTCTCAGTGAATTTCAGGAACTTTTACCAAATCAATCTGAATGAAAACACTTTTCACTTTATATATGTTTTACCTCTAAGACATCCTAAATGAATATCAAAATATATCTTTAGTAAAAAAAATTATTTTACCTCTTATTATCTCTATCTCAACACTAAATGTAGCAAAATTATTAATATTCAGTAAAATGAAAAGTTGAAAAATATGAACTAAAATACCATTTTTTTTCTACTGCACCAACTACAGTATTAGTCTGAAAGTTCCAAATTACTCAAGTTTCAACTGCTATCCTTATCACATCTCTTTTCTTTTACTTTTATGCATTTATTGCTGTAGTTTTACCCACTGGAGGAGTTATGTTTTTTATCAAAAGCAGTAAATCACAGGGGAACCCATTGTCTATTTCCTTTAGAGCTAATCATTATTAATACTTGATTTTTAGTGTTATGAGCCCCCAGACTTATCCCTCAGACATTGGGAGGGAGTTAAAATATATAATAATAAATATATACATTGAAACAAGGATTTGTATTACTTACTCCATACTCAAAGTTGTTTGCATTCAAGTAAAAATCAAAATTTGGGTATCTAAAAAAATAGTTCATACAGCTTTGAAATATGCATAAATAGGTTAAAAAAAAATCCTTGTGTACTCAGAGCAGCAAAATATGATCACCACAAATGAAATGATTCTGCTGCCTAACGCCACATAAGATTTATGTGGAGAATAATATGCTCTTTCTGTTAGTTATAAACATGTTTATCAGCCAGGTAAAGTTGATTAGGAGAGGAAGGGCTTCCCTTCTGGGTTTGACAAACTATATTTTCAGACCAAGTTTATTGTCATCTAACCTATATAAAAGCCAGTGTGTGTTGCATCATGCTTGCTTTCTCTTGATTTATTGAAATAGGAGGAGTCATAAAAGCCAAAATGCATTTATCCAGACAGGATGGTTTGATTATTGTCTGCCCATTATGATTTTACTTACGGGGTGCAAGGGGGCAATGAGGTGTGTGTGGTGAAACCTTATAAGTGTAGTAAGTGTTGGTATAATAAGCCTGAAGTAAAGACGTAGTGTGGGATCACCTAGCCTAGAGCCAAGTGCATAAAATTTATCATGAAAGTAAAAATATCAATTTTAAACTTAAATCATTTCTGAATTAAGCTATTATCTGTTATATAACTAATGTTTTTAATAAAACAACGGGACTCTAAATTAAGAAATCAACAAATATTTTTTCCAGTTTTGTTCTTTATACATATTGTTTTATATTTTTAGTACGTAGACTAACAACAATATTAGGTTATATTTTTGTTGCTAAATGACATGACATAAAAGCTATTGTTGGAATGTAGTGTTACCAAACTGCACTGGCTTTTCTATATATATATATATTAGAAGTTCTTAACCCTATCTCTATAGGTCTTCCTTGGTCACAGGTCAAAGGCCATGTCATCATGTTTGTAAACTCACATTCAAAATTTTATTGAACTACTATTTAATGAATGTATGTGAATAAGTTTAGTATCAAATTGTATTATATATTGGTTAATTTCTTAAAAAAATCCTAGATATTGATTTTTGTGTGTCACGTAGGTATGTTAAATGCAGCATTGGTTTAAATTAGATGTTTGTGATGTCCAAATCCAAGTCTATAGTTTTTTTACAAATTAAGAACTCAAATTACCAATAATGAAAACTAAAATATAAAATAAAAGCCTCCTATCTTTTCTATTTGCTAAGATATTGCTACCTTTACTAAATCAAACACAGTGGCCCTGCCCACTTCATTACACACACACCTACTTCTGTCTATGGCATCTGAATAACCAATTGAAAGCTCAGAATGTCCCCTACTGGCTTTCTCAGCCTTTCTCAAAATATTAGAGCAGCAAACTCATTCTTTTGTTGCTAGATTTCAAACAATAAGGTAATGCTTTAGTGAGCTACGAAAATTTCATATTTTTTTACAACCCAATACAGTACTTAGTTACAAAGTTTGTTAAGCTATA